ATTGTTATCGCTACCAACATTTTAATTACAATATTTATTACATACTGAACGAAATTGTTGACAACGTTTATTACTGCGATTGAGAGCGAAGTATAATTTTTATATATTTTCTTTTTATAATAATTTAATCATTTTTGTTAACATTGATAATGATCCAATAAGGATCGAAACATTTATTTTTGATTTATTTGTTTATTGCCGGCAAATTAAAGTTTTATATTTTAACTAAATGACATGTTTATTTATTAACGTTTTCAATTTTTAATTTATAACGATTAACTTCGTAGCCCTTTTCTTTTTCGTTTTTTAATTTTATTGAGCCTTATTACTATTATAATCTAAACATATGTGATAAAAGTAATAATTCATTTTTAGCTCATCAGTTAGATATAAGAATATTTGTTTGTAGTTTTATCAGCGCAATGGTCAGCCGTACCCAATATGTGACAAGGATAATTTAATTGTGGAGGTAACAGAGGATACACGCAGAGTAGCTACATTAATAGAACTGGGAGGCACCGACCCCTTAGCTGCAAATACTGCAGTAGTAAAGTTTACTGTCCGCCATGCGGGACAATATCGAATAGCTGTACTTATCGGATCGTGTCATGTTCATGGCAGTCCGTTTCTTAAGAATTTTCTTCCTGGTACGTATATTCGATACTGATGTGTCGTAAAGTAATATTCAAAATGCAATAAGAATATTATATGAATCACCTGTCCCTAATGATAAAGATATGTACTGTTAAACTTTAAAGTTAAACTTTAAAAATGCAAACAATAGTAAAATTTTTCAAGTAACCTTTTCACTGATTTATAATTTATTTGAATGACTGATATTATACAAGGTGATACATACAGGGTGTTTACATATCTCTACGGGACTTTTTTTCTTATTGTTATCGATCCCTCACGCTTCCGAAGTTTTGACATTTAAATTCCAAACACCCTGTGTACAAAGATATTTATCGTTCAAAAGGTGATATTTTCTAACAAATAATTATCTCCTTCAACATTTTGTAACATTTTTTAAGCAAAAATTGATTCATAATTAATGGAAAAATGAACGTTAATTCTGTTAGTCTAGTTAAATCTGAAATGCACTGTATAAGTTCTTATTAGTTACGATCGTGTCGTAAAGTATATCGTCTATATTAGGTCCACCAGATCCAAATAAGACAGTCTTTGTACGACAAAGTTCTACGGTCGTTTGCACAGCTGGGATAGCTCATTCGATGACAATAGAGCCACGAGACGAATATGATAATCTGTGCATATTTGGGCCTGGAGATCAGCCTACAGAAGGCTATAGTGTCAATATTATTCAGGTAAATCAGAAATTTTCGCAAAAATAAAAATTTTAATATTTATTGCTTAAATCGATTGTCCAAATTTATCTTCTTTATCTTCTTAGATTGGTAGTACAGTAGATAAAGGATCGATGATAGATTATAGTATTCAACTCGATTATGATTCTTCAAATCAAAGAATTCGTTTAAAAGTGAGCTTTCCAAAAGGCGGATGTTATCATGCAACGGTTAGCTTGGCAGGATTACAACTGCATAATGGAGATTTTGATATCATCGTTCTCGAAAGTATGTAAAATATTTTATTTTCAAGCTTAGATATCTTCCTATTTCGCTTTTTCATAATGAGGCTCGTATATTACCCTTTTCTTCTCATTACTAGATTCCGTCGCGAGAATGGTACATAATAATGTAGCGTCTAAGGATCCAGATATCTGTTATGTTGCAAAGTTACTAGGCATGCAAGGAGAAAGATTTTCTAAACCAAAGAAGGTCTTCTGCTTTATCTCGCCTAAGCAACTTACGATTAAGGAATATTTATTAAAATTTATTCCCAAAAGACTCGTAACATTTAGACTATGTCCTTCGACAAAGGTATGATAATCATTAAAAATAATTTTATATGCGCATCAATTTGCTGATTTTAATCTATTAGATCTGTGATTTCTTAGTTTTTTATTGTAAATTGTAGTTCCATTTTGAAAATTCGACCAATCAGCACGAGGGATATTATCCTTTCTCGATAGACGACGGATGTCAACCTCCCGTTGAATTAATATCTCTATATCGTGATATAATAGCCGCCACTTTCACTTTGTTTCTCTTGAAAAACATCGGCGGTAGTGAAACATTCGCTGACAAACAAGACTTTTTCTATCATGAAGTCCGCAAGCACCATCAGAAGCATTATCACGAGAAACTCTCCATGAAAGTGCAGCGTGATAAACTTTTAGAATCGGTAAATGTATAAATAAATTCATGATACATATTCATGAAAGTATCGCGTAAAGATGTATATTAATAATGTGTTTCTTTTTTGTTAAAAAAGTCTATGAAAGCTACTAAAGGATTTTCCGTGAGTGATTGGTGCCGAAATTTTGAAATAATATTTCAAGGCGAACAAGGTACGTTTACGTTTACGTTTAAGAAACTTTTATGAAAATTAATTTTAAGACAATTACAAGAGTCATTGTCTCGTGTTAGGCGTTGATTGGGGTGGCGTGCGACGTGAATGGTTCGAATTGATATGCGCCGCGCTATTTGATCCGGGGAATGGTTTGTTCGCGTCATTTGGAGAGTCGCAACAGGCATTAGTGCATCCAAATTCCAAACGACCATCGCATCTTAAATTGAAGCACTATGAGTTTGCTGGACGTATCGTAGGAAAGTGTCTTTACGAGTCGGCGCTCGGCGGCTCCTATCGTCAGTTAGTACGCGCACGATTCACTAGATCATTTCTTGCACAGATTATAGGACTTAGAGTGCATTACAAGGTAACTCATTGAATTTCTTTTTTATTCCTACGCAAAAAATTAATAACAGATAAAGTATAACAGATAGCTTTATTTTTTATGGATTAGTATTTTGAACAAGATGATCCTGATTTATACTTGAGTAAGGTAAAGTATATTCTTGAGAATGATGTTGAAGAAATGGAATTGTACTTCCTTGAAGAAGAATATGATAAGGATGGACAATTGTTGAAGGTACATTATTACTTCTTGATATTAATCTTTGAATATTTTTGTTTCGAAATAAAATCGTTAATACGAAGTTCTTTATGTATTTTGCATTAAGTTTAGGAATAGAATTTTATTTTATCTCTAAGCTTAATACATAGCCGAAATTTAATGCACTATGATTAACACGTTTTATGTAGGTGGCAGAATTAATTCCTGGTGGTAGCAAAGTCCGAGTGACTAACGATACGAAACTTCGTTATCTGGATGCACTCGCTCAGCACCGACTTGCTAGTTCCATCCGCAACGAAGTAGATCATTTTCTGCGCGGTCTTAACGAACTGATTCCCGATAATCTCTTAGGTATATTTGATGAAAATGAATTAGAGGTGAGTAAAATTAAAATATATAAAAATTAATATGTCAGAAGATAGTACTCTGCGACTTTATCTCTTTCGCAGTTGCTGTTATGCGGGACTGGCGAGTACAGCGTGGCAGATTTACGCGCGCATCACATAGCTAATGGAAGTTCTCCGGAATTTCTTCGAGTACTTGATTGGTTCTGGACGGCGGTGAGCAATTTTACGCAGGAGGAGATGGCACGATTGCTCCAATTCACAACGGGTTGCTCGCAATTACCGCCTGGTGGATTTCAACAACTGAGCCCTCGTTTTCAAATTACAGCTGCACCAACATTCGCTAATTTGCCTACAGCACATACTTGGTACGTTCTCACTTAGAAGTATCTTATAGATACTTCACTTAGAAGTAATTAGAATATTCATGTTTTTTCTTCGATCATTGATTTGTTATTAATATTGTTTTTCAGCTTTAATCAACTCTGCTTACCTGATTATGAGTGCTACGATCACTTCGAACGAGCGTTGCTGTTGGCAATCAGCGAGGGTACCGAAGGTTTCGGCATGATCTAACCGGGAAAGCCCGGAGTAAGATTCATCAAACTTCTAGTCTGACTAGAACTATTGATTAAATTAATTTACGTATCCATTTTTTCCTCAATAGTTGAACCCGTTCTTAATGGGTAAAAAAAAAAGTTTTCGATAATAGATACTATTATGAGTCCTATAGTTGTCTCATAGGAACTTCTTACTCAGCAAGATCAGAAATGAGAGTAACTATCGCACGTTTTTATATGTAGATATTTAGAATTTTTGGAATTACCTTTTTTCTGTTTACGCCGAAGACTATCAGGAATAATCTAATCTTCCGATGATGTAGACGATGCAATTTCTACTGAGACGCGGCAACGTTTTTATAAAACGGAAAATATTCAGCAAGAGCAATGTTACCTCAACATCAGAATTGCTCAATATTATTGTATCGAAATTTAGCATAGCCGAATTTATGATAGATTTTACGTGAACATAAAGAGAATTAAGTTAACGCGTTTTTCAAACGATAATGTAACTGAACGTCGATGTATAAAAATATACGATGCAACAAATCAAAATACATATAAATAATGTTTCTTTTGTAGTAACTACTATTATACGTACAGAGATTGGTACATTTGATGAAGGGATCATTGCAACAGTACTGAACGTTCCGTTATTCAGTATTAATTGAAATACATTCTATCGCATAATGCAGGGAATATATGATTTTAAAAGAACTTATATAAAGAATGATGAATAATGAGGCGAATGTATTAAAGCTTTGCGCTAGTTTAGTTTATTCGTTTTCTCGTAATAACAGCACGGCGATAATACGGTATTTTCAACATCGATGATGGCGCATGTAATATAAGCTAATTAGTATGTACAAAATATGACTGTATTCTGAGACACTACGTATTACGTGATTATCTATTTCTTATCGACGCAAAATGCTCGCAATATAATAAGCATGATAACCTAGTCATAATGAAGTAATTACGATCATATTGTGCGTATCGCATTGGTATACGTATTTATTTAAGATGCAGTGACACGTACTTATATTAAGTAGAGAAGGAATAGTATGAAACGTAGTAATCGCCATAGCAGATTATTCGTTACAAAATAATGAACGAATGGCCAATGATTGTAAACCGTACTACGCGCCTCGCAATAGCAAGAAACTTAACAGCCTCGCCAGATTATATACCATCAAATAATACTGACGGTAATTTATTTTTATCAGTTTATCATTACATGAAAGGAAATAAAAAGTATAGATTAAAAAAGCATATGATATCTACATTTATTCAATAAATTCCGTTAAAGTCTCCGCTTATTACGTATAGCTCCTTGCTTTCGTAATTTATGAAAAATAAAAATTTATCCTATAAATACCACATGACATAATAAAATCGCTTATTCTTACAGTATATGTAGTGTTAAACATAGGATATATAAAACTCTATTCCTCAAAAATTAAATATTGACTTAAAAAAATTGTATTATATTTTAAATGTAGTACGAAATGCTGATGCTTATCAATCTCTCTATTGTCCTGCGAGCGTTTATCCTTGCCAGTCGATCATAAAATACTCTCCTCTTTCGACCTAAGTCATTTGCACCAAACGGACAGTATTTCAATTCGGTTTCACCCGATTAAAACCAGCTTATGTCCCGGAAAATTGTGATCATGCTTAAGTTCCTTAATCTGTGAGAGATACTGATATAATAATGTTATTCTTATTTCAATTCTATTTTCCTAATCGAATCTTTATACCGAGGATAAGTGAAATTATTAAACCTCAGTGAAATTCTGTGTTAATCTCTGTGTTTTAGTCAATGAAATGTTACAACTAATTTAATCTAAGGCCAATATCACATTTGATATTTCATATGTCGTACGATAAATTTCTAAGACAGCTGTCTTACAAGCTGTAAGACAAAGTTAATCCGAGAACTTCTCCGTCCTGCAGCCAATTAATCAACAAGCTTGAAAAGCTCGTACGACACATGAAATATCGGCCTAAAATACTCAGCACGTATGTTCAAAATTAGAATATAAAGCCCTGGTACATAAAAATAAGACTTAAGTAAAGAAAGCAACATATTAGATTCGCTACTACTCACGTTATGATCTTACAGTCTGTACTGTGATTGATCGATTCGCTTATTGCTTAAGTCTTATATTTTAAATTTTTCTATGTCCCATAGCTTTAAGATAGCTTATCATCGACATAATAACGCGGAACAAGGACAAAGTCTTGCGTTCTCTCAATTGTTGCAAATTGGAAATTATAAGTTGTGATAAATCTATCTACCTACCTACGGCAGCAATGGCAGAGTGGCACTGGATAAAAACGCGAAAGTTCGTAGAATAGATACACGCATAATGCTCCCAGCGATCTGCAATATCCGATTCCAGCCACCCTCTTGAGATTGTCGCAGCAATCGCTCTCTCAGTTCATTTAATTCCATCCTAATGGATTTCAATGATACAAAAATATCTCGTGGTGCCTGTTTAGTCTCAGAAACAGAGCAATTTCTTTTCCTTTTTTTTTCTTTTAAATAACTTACATTTGTGAATGATATTCCATTTCAACGCGATGGAGCTCAACTTCTCGATCAGCTAACTGACTCTCCAGAGAAATCGTGCGTAAACTCAGAGTCTTCGCATTATCCTCGCTAGCTTTCAAATATTTTTCTAATCTCTGTCTCTCGGCCATCGCGATTTGCAGCTCCCTGATTACAAACGTTATTTCTAAGATAAATGATACTCCTAAGTTTCTGCACTTAAAGTGTTTCAAACTAGGGATGCACTGGATATCTGAAAAGTATCTGGTATCCGGTATTATCTGGCACTTTTTTACTATTCGACCGGATAGTCGGATATCATTAGTATCCGGAAATATCCGGATTGAAATTTTATATTGAAAGTTTACGTCATTGATGCAGATTTCTATTCTTTTCAGCTGAACTTCGTACATATTTCGTCTTTCTTCTTTTTCTTTTCACGATGGAAAGATAAAAAAAAAGATAAATTGTGCAAAAAGCTAAGATTGCATTCGAAAAGCGATATCAACAGTATTAACGCTATCATGTCATTCTATTTTTATCATTCATTAGATGTAAAACAGGATATAGAACGTGTTCCGAATTACACATAAAGCACTTGATGCATCATTTGTCCATTCATTAAATACTAAAAAGGGATAAAATTTTACATACAAAAAGGGCCCAGAAATAATTGAAAAACGTTGATATTATCGACAATTGATATAAATTTGCGATTATTAACATAAATATTTGGATAATATTTATCATTATTGATTTTTCATTATAAATAAGATTCATTCTAATATATCATTAATAAATTTATTATATAAATGTTCTATAAAATTATATATAATATATGCATACTCGTAATGCATATCTTATATACAGGGTAAGTCCTGTAAGTTTTTGTCAAGCGCTTTTGTGTAGATAGAGTGAACTAAACTGAGTCGAAAAATCCTGTACCATTTTGCAATTTTCGCAATAGTTAACAAGATATTAATTACTAAAAATTGCTAAATATTGATCTTCAATAATTTTTTATTCAAATACTATCAACTTTATAGAAAAACTGCAAGAGACAAAAATCATTTATTTTCTTCTTAGAACTCTAAGAATTTTTTCAGAATTTTTTATCAACTTTTTAGTACTGCATTTTCTTATTTTTACCAATATAAGAAAATACGGTATTAAAAAATTTTGAAAAAATTTTGAAAAAATTCTCAGAACTTTATATGAGAAAAAAATAAACAATTTTTGTCTCTCGCTGTTTTTGTCTCTGCTCTATATCTATACAAAAGCGCTTGGCAAAAACTTAAGGAATACCCTGTATATTGCTGCAAAATTACAATTTTTTTCTCTACAGTTATCATCTCTATTGATAATCAAACTCGGACGATAACATTAAAATCATAATTATTATCACTATTTTTTCCCTTATAGTCCCTTTTTCTTTTTGTTCCCTTTTTTCTTCTTTTACTTAGCCTTTTTTTTAGACGTTGTCCCGGAATCTAGTCGGATATCCGGAAAATATCGGATATCCGACTCGAAAAATTGCCTTCCCGGATATCCGATGTTACATTGCTTTCGGATATCCAATATCCGATAATTTTATGATCCGGTGCATCCATATTTCAAATTTGATCTAAACACCCAAGTATATACCTAGAGGTACACTGAAGTTGTTCCTGCGCAGATTCAGCGAGAGATACCTGTGCCACTAATTGTAACTGTAACTCTTCGATGGCAGATTCCGCTTTTTCCGCTCTGGCATTACGTTCTGTTGCCAGTATCTCGCTGGCTGATATCTAAACAAATATACTTATCATAATAGCTTCATATAGCATATATCCTTATTATAATCTACATTTATAAAATAAGACTCCTATAGAATATAACTCTTATAGAATATATCATAAATATATCTTAGTAAAAATTTTTTTTATACATAATCATATCACTTTATATAAAATTATGTAAAATATATATAATTATGTATTAGGTGTTTAAAAACGCTACGAATTAATTCCAACACCTAATATAATCTATTATATTATATAATTATATATCATTTTATATAATACTGTCTAAATCATATACATATAATTATACATAAATTCCTCATAATATGTATTTATATAAATATGAATATACATAACGATTCATATATATATTTTCATACATATTGTCATACACTCATCCGCAAAAAAATGGGCTACTAAGTTTCAACACAAATTTTTAATATGTTCGAGTAGCGATATTTAAGATTTCTCAGCCAGATTTTTCGTAGAATCGCTGCTTTATAATACATATATATACATCTTTTGCGTTATCGTATCGAATTTACGATATGAATACATAATTCATGAATAATTATATATTTATGCTAATAGCATATTTCTGCGATATTCCCCGATTTCGCGTGGATAAAAGTTAATAGGGCAAGTAGTATTGATCCTTCTTCCTGGTACGGAAGGAGTATTACATGATATTGAGTCACCCAACGCGAAAGGTGTGACTCATTCGTAATCTATATTTCTTTCGTCGTACATTGACCTGACGCTGCCTCACTAGTAGATTCTGAGATCTTTAAAAAAATGGTGACACTTGCAGTAGCCTAGGCTAAATTAATGAATTGACAGCATGTATTAATTCATATCAATAAAAATCTCCATTTTATACTCTTTCAAATAATTCTGACTTTAATCTAAAGAAACGAAATGCTCAAAACGATAATATTTTTTTTTTTTTCTATAAAAAACGTAACCTTATTTAAGAATCTATTTCTTCAACAGAAAAATCCATTAATTAATAATTATATCATTGCTATTAAGAATTCGCAGGATATTGATTCAACCATAGCCCGCTATCGTTTTCAACAAATCATGAGCGAGTGAGTAGTGTACATCTTTGCTGATAGAGGGCCGCAGCACAGAGCATTTACTCGAGAATCCGGAAAATATCGAGTATCCGAAAAATTGCCTTGGGAGAAAATATGAAGAGCGTAGCATTTCACCTGCAAAGCAAAACCCATGGCACATACAAAATACACGTAAGACAGTAAGATGTAAGCAATAAGGAAATCGTAAAGTTGGTCATACATACTTTTCGTAACAGTAATAGTAAGGTTTCAATCAATCACGTTGCTCGATTCGGTCGTCCGTAACTTACGGTCGACCAAATTGAGCAACGCGATTGGTCGAAACCTTACTGTTACTATTACGGAAAGTATGTATGTACGGAAAGTGTGTGTGACCAGGTTTACATTGATTCGCTATTGGCTTTACGGTCTCTTCCATGATTGATCAATTTGCTTACTGCTCTTACGTCTTACTGCCTTACGTTTTTCTATGTACCATCAGATTAAAACTTAAACTCTAAAATTGGGCTCCAAGGTGAAAGTGTGAAGTATGTTTTTCAAAACAAAATTTTGTTTAAAAATTGATTCCTGGACCGGACATCAGATCTGGAATTTCTGGAAAAATTAAAATTTTGCAGAATATATATGGAACATTCTCGGAATATATAACGATATATAAATGGAATTCTTTATCGATATTTGAATGCTTTTACATTCCGTAAATATTTCAGAATATTCCGAAATATTCTTGGAATGTTTTTTAAGAATACTTCTATGAATATTTCAGGAATATTTAGCTGGTAATTTTCATTAATTTGCATTAAGATGTGTTAAGTAATTAGAAAACATCCCTTATATTCTTACATTTTGAGCTGTGTTCGGAAACGTTATGCGAGGATGTGATCTACTTACCGCTGCAAATACTGTTAATCAATCAAAAAAAAGAATTTTACGAATTGACCAATCAAAGAATACTTTAAAGAATACTTTGCAGCGTGAAGTGGATCGCATCCCGAGTGCTTTGTTTTATCCTTGTTGTTCATCCAATATTAAACAAAGATAAGATGATACACGGAGGGGCACCCGAGTAACGTAGTGGCAACGATCTATCAGTCAAACGAAATTAAATTCTGATTGGTTGCTTCGAATGCAACCCCACTACTGTACATGCGCAATAAAACAGGGAAGGGTGAAGAATGAAGAAAGAATGAGTCAGTTGATTCGTGGAATATGAAAGCAGTACGCGAAAGATCGCGCGTGGGAGAGCTTACCCCTAAGAAAGAGGAGAAGGGAGTTACAACTTTATGTCTCCGACGGGGGTAACAATGACTCATCGAACAACAAATCAATTTTTTATCATCACTGCACGATTGGCTATAGAGCTGTTTACGTGCGCGCGGGTCAGGAATCATAAGCTATGGCTCACTGAATATTGCTTAAAGATTAGAATTATTGATTCAGAAGAATTGAAAAATTGCAAGAAATTATGATTTCATTTTTGTAAAGGAAAACTTAACTTAGAATTAACCGAAGAATCCTAAATTATAAAAAAATATGTTTATGAATTCCAAAGGGGGAGGGGAGGGGGGGCAAGAGGAGGCATTTTGTGTCCTCTTGTGGGCGATAATTTCTAATACAATTTCTCTTTCTCGACTTACTTATCTTGTCGTAATAAGAAAGCTTTTAATATCAAAAGGCATACAATTATCCGGTAAAAAGTTGTTTTTCATACATAATTAGATATATCTAAATGATTATGTACATGATTATGTACAACTATACATATATGAAATGTGTTCATATACATATAATAATACATAATTATTATGTAATTATAAATAATTACATTTTATACTACTACATATAATTTGTTATATATATTACTATAAAAACTATAAGGCCTTGCACACAATAGAAAGAATAAGGAATTAGGAAAGGATAAAAAATACACATACATTTCAGGTTGAAATCATTATTCCTAATTCCTTATTCCTGTTATTATGCGCAGCCCCTAAAAAATCTAAAAAAAAAAGTTTTATTGCTAAAATATTATTGATTAGCATTATATTGCAAAATACACATGACAAAATAATGATCAAAAAATTTTCAAAATGGCCCGAAGCATTCGAAAAGAGTTTAGGAATTTCTAGGAAATAACATAACTATATATACCCTGATGAAAATAAAAATCGGAGCGTAAATCGGATGATTGGAGAATAACAGAAGCGTAAACGAAACTCGTAGAAGGCGAAAATTGGACCAATGAAATGTAAAAGAAGCATTTACGCTTCTTTTATACTTTGATGTTTCAATTTTCGCCTCCTAGAAGTTTCATTTACGCTTCTGTTACTCTCCCATTACATTCGACTTATGCTCTGATTTTTATTTCCATCAGGATAATTATATATGACAAACTATGTGGATAGGTGTCTTATACAGTAGAATGTATAAAGAGTACTAGAACGTATAAAGAATGCAGAACGAAATATCTTGAAAATCAAGCATTTTAGAAAAAAATGTTTCAGATAAAAGAGGTCAACAAAGCTCCCAAATATGAGAAGCGCCATTTAACGGTCAAAATTAGATGTTGAACTAATATACTTTTTACGTATTCTTTTTAAATGAATTTATTTCAGAAATATGATTGCGCACAATACTCTATTGGACTTTCAACGCAATCCATCTGAAATATTAATAATCCCTTCAAATTTAAATACATCTTAAAAACTTGTAAAAACCTTAATGCGAAAAATATTACCTCGGCCGAGAGAGAGATTCGGAATATTTTATATATGACTATATAAAATTATATATAAATTATATAATTTTATATAATTGTATAATTATATATAATTATATATAAACTTACATATAAAATTATATTAAATTATATATAAAATTATATAAAATTATATAGAATTATACAATATATAATTATATATAAAATATGTTCATCTGTATACAAAATATATAAATTTATATAATTTTATACAATTATATATCAAATATTTTTCTCCGAAGGAAAAGAGAGAGCCAATTTTCATTTAAAAAATCGATATGATCTTAATCTGATCTTGGCAATGCCATCCAAAGTAAAGCTCATAGCGCTAGTAAATAAATCTTTTAAAAGTCTATAACTTTTATCTGAAACACTTTTTCCTAAAATGCTTAGTTTTCGCCATCCCGATACTTTTTATATACCGTGAATATAATTATATTAAGTTACATATTAACTATAATAAATCATGTATAAAAACGTATAAATTATCATGTATATTCATATATAAATACACATAATGAGGAATTTATTTATAATTATATAGAGTGTTTTATTTTAAGTGACATGATCGATTATCTTGCGAATCGATTTTATTGAAAAATTTTTCGAATGAAAGTTGCATGGCTTGAAGGGAGACACATGATGGAAATGTGGACTTGACCTTGAGTGACCTTGTCAAAATCAGGTCAAGGTCATTAATGTTTTTTTAAATGGAAACCCCTATTTTGTACTATATATTCTTGTAGCTTATCTCGAGAGCTTTCCGAAACACTATAATAAAGTTACTATATGTTATAAATGTATAATATGTTAAAACTTAATAAATTTATTGCGAAAAATATTATCTTGGCCGGATCTCTTGTCCATACGAGTGTCCTAAGCCATTAGACCACCGAAGCAATAAATTTATTAACAGTTTTAACATATTAACATGTTTATAATATGATGTTTGAGAGCATCAAATTACTAAAATTGCTTGTCAATTTAATTCACGATTACTAGGGTAGTTTTAATTTCATTTATAATCCGGAAAAACAATTCGGCGCGAAGTTCGAAAAGGCTATTATATGGTATATATGCAAGTACATATATAGTGTATATTAGTAATTCAAGATTGAATTATTTAAAGCAATAAAGATCCAGCTTCGACCATAATAGGCATTTTAAATTTCTATTGATTGTGTTCACATATGCGATCTAAAAAAATAAAGATTCTTAATACTGTTATTATTATAATTGTGACTTGGATTATGACCCCCCTAGGAAAAATTCTGTGAATGACGTGGATATGTTTAATGAGGGATACCGCTTAGACAACTAATTTTTTATTTTATAAATCGAAAGAGAAAATGCAACTTTATCCAGAAGAATTCTCTTATCTTCCCGTAATTTCAAAAGTTTCTCTCGATCCTTCGTCATTTGTGCATCGAACGCCTTTAGCTGATCTTGTGCGGTCAAGAGCTCGTTCTTCAAATTTCCCACAGTGACTGATCGCTCTTGGGAGACTTCTTCAGCGTGCTTTAGTTCAATTTCTAATTTCTCTTTTTCCTACAATAACATGCAACTGTGTTTGAAATTTATAAATGATTTAATAATGATATTAACAGGGTTGGGTAAGTTAACTTTTTTTTAACTAAGTTAAGTTAAAGTTAACAGCTTTGAAAATTTAACTTAGTTAGTTAAGATAAAAGTTAATCCATGGTGACATTAATTGAATTAAAAATTAAATTAATGAAAAAAATCAATCAAAAAGTTAAAAATTAAATTTGTTTTATTTCATGATTTCAAGTTAACTTTTTTTTAAGTTAAAAGTTAACTTTTTTAACTAACAAGGAGAAACTCACATATGTATTTCATGGATTTTAATCAACTTTTGCATAATTATTCTGGAACATCAAAAAATAATCCCTGTAAAGCAATAAATTGCACTTTTGCGTGTTTTTCAAGAAAATCGTAATTTTAGATCATGACGACGGATCGCTTTCATATTCTATACTTAAACGTAAATGAAATATTTGGATTTATTTAAAATTAGAAAAACGTATCTCCAACAGACACGAATGCATATAATTCAAGTAGGGATTCATATAACGCACTGATGTTAAAAAAATCAAATTAAAAGTTAATAGTTACCGATAAAATATAACTATGTAAAGTTAAAAAATTAAGAATAAAATGTAACTAAATGAAATTAAAATTAATTAACTTTTTAACTTTTTAACTTAACTTTTAAGTTTTTAACTTAGCATTACCCAACCTTGGATATTAATACGGATGATACAGATTTCATCAAGATCTAGAGCGTCTGGATATTTTTGAAACAGTTCTTCTTTAATGAGCACAGGATGGATTAAAAAAATACAGCGATTATAAAGTTAAACAAGATTCGTCCCATTATAGCTCAATTCAACTTTTCGTAAAGTCTTCTTATAAAAAGCCAACAAATTATATAAAATTGCAAATCCATATAGAGACGACATAATTATAGCTCTCGTTTCACATCGGATGACGTCGGATAGACTTTTTTAAATAACATGTATGTCCAAAATCGAGACATCTTACAAACGTCATTAATATTTTAGATTTCTGTTTAAAAAAAATTCTTAATAATATCTTTAAAATGTCTTATGTTCCGATTTTGGACATGCGTGCTGTCGAGATTTTGTAAGAAAATTTAAAAATGTGGAACCATACAATTCAAAAGCTTCGCGAAATATTAGGAGACACGATAGTGTCTCAGCTCTAAAGACGAAGACTCCGTCGATTCGTGCAAAAATACGAAGCTTCGTTTAAAGTCCGACATTGTCCAACTATGAACAAAGCAACGCTGACTGCTATGGTCCACTTGATTGTTAAATATTTCGATTGTTAAATTTTTCGATTGATCAATTTTTTGAATTGTTCAACGCTCCTTTATTCATGACATAGTGGGAATAACTTCTCCAGCAAAACTTCGCTCCATGAAAAAATAAGAAGGTTTTAGCGAAGAGCGTTGAACGTTAGTTTCGTTTTCGGCGAAATGGGGGAGTTTCGCCAGCGAAGCTTCGCTGCATGAAATTGAACCTTAAGACAAACGCAGCAACATATGGCGCGAGACTATATTATTTTACACATACAGCGTATTTTCTCTATGTTAACACTGTCCATTTTTCATGAAAAATGAATGATGAATTTCCTTAAGGATAGAGCGAAGGGTTTTCTTCGTCCATTTCTCGCCATAATGTTTACGTTTCTAAACATCATATATTGAATATTTAAAGCTTGTGCTCTCAAAGAACAATCATGAAATTGACATAATAGCTTTGCCCTACCTTATGAATATTTAGTCAGACGATTATAATACGCGTGAAATGCATATATTATATGTTTTTGCATCAAAATCGGTCTACCGCATATTGCCGGAACATGTGTCGCATTCTCGCGATGACACCATTCCCATAATTAGAAACATGTCATTGAACTCCTGTGTTTGTTCCAATAGGAGAATGACGCACTAGAAGCGCAATATGCGTATGCATCGCCAGCGCTATAAAGAGTCGATAGGGTTTCCTCCACCGCGATGGCAAACGTTTAACGAACTTCATTTAATGAATTCCTTTTTAAAAGGTTTTTTATGAAAAAAAAAGTTTTTCATTGTTTAGAAAAAGTTCTTTAAAAAAATATAACTAAAAATATACTCGAACATTAATGGACTAAAATTAAAAACAATCGAATAGAGCAAGGTACAACGTAAGAAATAATTGATCGATCATACCGATCGGAAGGCGTCGCGCTGGGATGTCACCTCCTCGAGTTGTGACTTCTCGCGATGTAATTCGCTATTCAGTCTACCGACCCGATCGTTCTCGGCGAGCAGCAATCGGCGCAGAAACTCGATCTGCAGGTGCAAGTGTTCCACCTGTTGCTCCAGCTGCGCGATCTCGGCACGTCTACGTCGCCATGCATTCAGTACCAACACGCGGCACACTACGTTTGCCGCATTGATCGTCGGATCCTTGATTAGACCGACAGTTTCACTCTGTTCGGATTCCGAAGACGGTGTAGCGTCCGTCCAGGATCCGCCATTGCAATAGGCGCTCCCACCGTTCCCCAAAATATCCTTACTTCTATCGACGATTTCGTCAAGACGACTGGCAGAACACTCGCTCTCTGATCTGAACGATATATTATATAACTCTCCGATTAGATTGATTAGATCGCACTTTCATAATCTCATAGTAATAAGAATGATGATCATTGCCAGATAGCATGGGACATTCCAACAATATTATGCGGATTTTTCAACATTCACGAAATAATATAGGTTCGTTTCGATTTATGCATGAATTATCATTTTATCCTTATTTAATATTCGATGAAGATAAAATGATCAGCATAAAACAGAACGCACTTATTATCTAATTCTTGTAGGATAACTGTCCCAATTACTATGCCTGTTCCTATTAGTGTGCTTTTATACTTCGATAAGTCATAAAGAAAACCAGCACAAATAAATAAAATAAAAAATATTTTTTTTATTAAGTTAAATAGGCACAAATTGGAAACACATTATAGGGCCATTGCCGCTTACAGGACTTATTAATAGGAACAAAAACATGTTTTCTATTTTTGTCAAAAATAGTATAACATTTTTTAGATTAAAGAAATATTATAAGAAAAAGAAGTAATTGAAAAACCGATATTGATTGCAAGCAGATAAAATTAAAGCTACAATATTTAATAATTAATTCAGTAATAAACAAATTGGCTAAAAGGCACATTAATAGGGACAGTTACCCCATAATACATGAATCTAAAAATACCATGCGTTTTTTGATGATTTTGATATAGAGATACTGGAATAATTGCGAATGTCTAAGGAAAAAGTTAAATAAAGCAAAACTTAATTATTGTAGTTTAAAGATAAATAACTGGAGTATCTTTTGACTCTAAAGACTTTTTTAATTGATATATAATTAGCAATTTTATTTAACTTTTCCTTTAGGTGTTCGCAATTCCCCCACTCTTCTCTAAATATTGCAATATTTTCAAGAAATCAATTCACTTGAGATCGCCGATGTCGGAATCAACGGCAGGCAGGGATAAGTCCATCATCGATAGACTCTTTTTGCAACAAGGAGAACCAACGGCCAAGAAACTGGGCGGACATCGGTCAGAGCAGCTTTTGGGAATTGTTGTTGAAGTATCGCGACCAGTTCTAGTCACCGACAATCCGACCCCCAGTCTGTACGGTCTCTTGGGTATGCGATGATCGGTGCATCGGTACGGGCTTGATCGCGGATGACATTTTACGGACGCGGAGCCAGCGGTAGCATACGGTAATCTACGTTGCATGCATCGAGGCAATTTAGTCTCGACCCTGGTGATGGCCGCGAGTCGCGCACCCGGATTCCGTTTTGACAGAGTAATCGTTTCTGGCATGTCGCTTGCAGCTTGCACATAAGACTGTCCTCGAATATAATCGAGATTGTTTGTGCGCACCTCTCGTCATAGAGACGAAACACGGTTGCTGCTAGGAACAAATGACTGCAGAGCTATAATTTTTCAGAATTTCTACAGGAATTTCAAAGATGTTATAATTGTATACAATTTTATAACTTTTTAGAAAATTATTATTAGCAAATCATTTATACAAATTATTATAGAATACTTTTCAGAAGTGCGATGTTGAGAAAAAAATCTACATTTTTTTCTAGAATCCTTTATCTACATATATCTACAGTCTCGTAATTCATCCAACAGTGATCATGGGCAGATAAAGCGGACTAAATTGGATCGAAAAGTCCTCTATCATTTTGCAATTTTCGCAATAATTAACAAGATATTAATTACTAAAAATTGCCGAATATTGGTCTTCAATAATTTTTTTCTCAAATACTATCAGTTTTACAGAAAAACAGCAAGGGACAAAAATTGTTTATTTTGTTCTCATAGAACTCCAAGAATTTTTTCAGAATTTTTTATCAACTTTTTAGTACTGCATTTTCTTATTTTTATCAACATAAGAACATACAATATTAAAAAATTCTAAAAAAATTCTGAAAAAATTTTCAGAGCTTTATAGGAAGAAAATAAACAATTTTTGTCTCTTGCTGTTTTTCTGCAAAGTTGATGATATTTAAGTAAAAAAAATTATTGAAAATCAATATTCAGCGATTTTTAGTAAATATCTTATTAACTATTGCGAAAATTGCAAAATGATAAAGAATTTTTCGACTCAGTTTAGTCCGCTCTACTTACGAGCGTTGTCGGATGAATTAGGAGATACCCTGTGTATGAATGTTGAATTATTCTACGATTTTTTATTCTATTATAATTTATGAAAAAAATCTTATAAAATTTAAAGAAAATCATAGAATGTACAAATGTCAATGAAATGTTCAGAATATTGTATGAATACTCATTGTATATTTCATGAAAATCGCGAACGAACGAACAGTACAAATCTCCGTCGAGAGAGGGCCGAAGTGAGAGAGCATTTAAATAGCATTTGTAAACAAAAATCACGTGGGAGAAAATATAAGGAAGCGCATCATTTCGTCACTTCGTCTATGAACAGTGTCAACTGCGAAGTGAGTCTCAAAATTGGGCTCCAAGGTGGAAATACATTAAAGGTTGCGTTTGGACATTACACTCATGTATTGTTTTATCCTTATTTAACATTGGCTGAATAACAAGAATAAAACGACACGCGGGGCACTCGGGTGGTGTTTCCGAACGCAGCGCAGCCTAAATGTTGTTTTTCAAAGTAAAAGTTTGTTTAAAAATTGATTCACAGACAATCTGACCTAGAATTTTTGGAAAAATTAAAATTTTGTGGAACATTCTCAGAATATGTAACGACATACAAATGAAATTTTTAACCAATATTTGAATGTTTCTTTTACATACCACAAATAAAAAAATAAATACGTTATTATAACAAATAATAACAAATTTCGATTAAAAATAAAGATAATATATATAGAATATATAAGATCCAATTGCAAATCTTGACCGATGCGTCATTTATTTATATGTATATTATTATTATAATATTTCAATCATTGATCATATAAAAATTAATGCTGTCCTACATGTTTCGGTTACGTTGAGCTCTCTTCAAAAAATTCTTATAAAAAAAAAAGAACTGCCATATCTTGTGAGAAATCATGATCAATGATACTTCGATCCCCGAGTAAAAAACGTTGCTCATAACAGTTAGAAGACCGTATGGAAATAAATTTCGGTTACCTTTTGAACCATCAGCAAAAAAAAAATGGTATCGTAATACTTTATACTCCCATTAAGAAACATCCGTTACAGCCCTGATGAAAATGTAAAGCTTGTAACGCTCGAAGCGTCAAAGAAGTGTGAACAAAGAATGTTAACGCTTCTTAAACACTTCATTGACTTTCCATTGACTCTTAGTGGTTTTGAATATTCATATACGCTCCACGAACTCTCCCCACGCACCGTAAAATGTGCCCGAAATATATTTGTCACATTTGCCACACGTTAAAAAAATTTTTTTTTCATTAATGTTTTTCATACGCTCCTCAACACTCCGCAAAGAATGCATGGAGCGTACTGATACACTTCCTAAACACTTCATTCATTAGTACTTCGTCTACGCTTCCTAAACGTTCGGCAAAAAGTACACGGAACATTCAAATACGCTTTGTGTATACGCTTCCAGGATATAGAGATAAAAAAATTTACTTAAAACGGAGTGTCATTGAGCTGTACAGCGAATATAAACGAAGCGTTGTTGAATAGTACGCGGCACCGCCACCAGAGGGATTTAGCGAGAATTAACTTCTCGAATTTAAAAAATCACAGACTAGAATAAAAGATGTAGCATTGAAAGATTTTTCAGTTGTGTTCTAATGAAATAATTTTTTGAAGTGAGCCACTAGGGATCCAAGAAGGAAGCATAGCATTTTTTTTTAGATATTTATCGAATAAATGAAATATATTTTAAAATATCATTTGCTTATCGAGGACCTCGATTACATTTCATTCACGTTCGTCTAAGAACTCAACGATGCTCCATTTATGTTCTCTAGACTGCCTAATCACGCTCCGTTCGTTTATTCAACGAACATTCTGCTCGTACTTGCCGAAGAATACTTATCTATATTTTTATCTATGTTTCTTTAACGTTTAATTAATGTTTCTTTTACGTTCCATATTTCAATTTTCGCTTCTTATACATTTCATTTACGTTTCTGTTACTCTCTTCCTTTACACTCCAATTAACGCTTTATTGATACTCGCTTTATGTTTTATTTTTATCAGGAAGCTAACAATTAATGCATCTCCTGGATATCATCATGTAACTTTTCTTCTAGAATGGAAACGTAAAAAATACAAATTTTTATATACATACAGGATGATTTTAACATATTTCGTCACTCATCATGAGCAGGTAGAGTGAATCAAACTGAATCGAAAAGTCCTACCATTTTGCAATTTTCGCAATAGTTAACAAGATATTAATTACTAAAAATTGCTAAATATTGTCGAAAATAATTTTTTATTCAAATACTATCAACTTTATAGAAAAGCTGCAAGAGACAAAAATCGTTTATTTTCTTCTCATAAAGTTCTGAGAATTTTTTCAGAATTTTTTAATACCGTATTTTCTCATGTTGGTAAAAATAAGAAAGAAAAACAGTACTAAAAAGTTGATAAAAAATTCTGAAAAAATTTTTAGAGTTCTATGTTGTTATCAAATATTATTCTTTGTTGTTTTATCAAATGTTAAACAGGGACAAATATTTAATGCTCGCAAGCATTAGAAGCGTCAAATAAAACACACATTATCAAGTATAAGATGTAACTATAACTATATATATTAGGTGTTGGAATTAATTCGTAGCGTTTTACAAGTGATGGGAAGTACTTTCATTAATGTATTTTTTAATGCTCATGTGAAATAAATAACATTCTTTCATTAAAAACGCTACGAATTAATTCCAACACCTAATATGTATGTACATATATACATATATATACATATATATTCTCATGAGTACTTTAAAGTATCGTGATCGTGACAGTAGTATCCGCTAAATTTTGATTAAAATCCGCCGCGGAGCGCACCAGATCAGAAATCTCTTATTCATCCTTTCGCTCCCTCCGCTTTCGTACGTCGGTCGGTCGGTCGGTCGATCAGTCAGCCTGAGTCAGTCGCTAGTATCATCCGGTCAGGTCGGTTGTTCTCACGTCACGAGCTCGCAGATCGAGTACGCAGAACGCAGCGCAATTAACAGCAGTTAACGCGCGCGAGGCCAGTCGTCGGTCGTCCAACCATCTATCATCAATCGTGGAGTAACAGAAGTACGAATACTACATACTACTAGTATTGTGATCCACCTCCGGCTGTTTTTCTTCCATCTGCGGGCCGTGATCTTGCATAGCGAAGGAAATCAGACCTCTTATTAGGACCGCACGCATCTTGAGAGGTGCTCATCGTCGCTGTTCAACTCATCAACTCGAACAACGCTAGGCCTCAAAAGTATATATAGCATGTTGATTTGTGCAGCAGGCAAGTCTTTCTTTTTTCTTGTAGTTACTCGTATAGTCTGTCTCCCTCCCTCTCTCTCTCTCTCTCTCTCTCGCTCCATCCTTCTATCTTTCTTTCCCATCACATTGTCCTACGATAGTTTAATTATAGATACGCGGTCTGTACGGGCTTAGGCTCGCCTAAAATAATGATTGAATCAGCTTTGCGTCCTTCTTCGCGCTCCTTTTTCCCCCGGGACACTTGCGTGCAGTGTTTCTGGATATACTCCCGCGTATACAAATGTACGGAACGAACAGCTGTCGTTCCGGAATCCTGAAGGTTTCATCTGGAAATTGCGTTTGTCTTCCCAGTTACTTGCCGATGTTGACTCGAAATATGTTTGCAACATCGCAACTTACTCACTCAAACATAGCAATATACATTGTAGTATACGAATTTAATTTAAAATATTGAAACTGTATATTAAGAGAAATTAAATATGCCGATCTGAAAAGATAATTGAAGAGATGTAAGATGTGTAAGATATCATGAAACTTCTCATTATTCATTAAAATTTGTCTTAAGTTGCAGCAATTCGAGTATTCGAATTTATTTTTATTGCTGAAGTAGAAAAATTTAAGATACTTTTTGTAATTACATATAAAACCAATTGGTGTATTTATAATTATATTTCAGATGGACAAAGTTCAGTATATTAAAGACTCACAGTCATGGAACAATTCAATGGCATAAGTGATGGAGATATTAATATAAGTGATATCAGTAAGTATCTTGAGTATATATTATGTATTTTAATATAGTTTTGTATAGTTGTGTGATGCGACTATTTTTAGTTGACGTCATTCAAACCACCGATCCTGATTCTATGGCTACTATAGTAATGGACAGCGAACAGCCACATGTTGAGATT